GTTATTATATTTCATGAATATTTCATTTTATTTTGTTCGTAACTGTGAGTCTTGTAAGCTCACACTGTATTCGTAAACAATAAGATATTATCATTATTATGGTACTTAGGCTTAATTTTATATGTATGTATATAATTTTGTATTCTCTGTTTAATGTATTTGTACACAATTTTTTATATATTTCTTAATTATCATATTATTTAACAGTATCAAAAGTAACGTTGCCTCCCATTTTTATACACGGCGGTAAAGTTTTCAGGAAAATCAGTTTTTTTTATAATAACACTGATACTATTTTATATATCTTTATAAAATTTAGTACACGTCTTCCATGTATCAAGATGTATTTTTTTATATAAAAACAGTTCTGTAATTTTTATTTCAGTTGCGTCCTTACGGGATTGGGTTAGTTAATTAAATTTGATTTCTTGATTTTCTTAAGAGTTTAATAGCGAAGTGCTTTAGACTTTAAATCGATACATATGATAATATTCTTTTTTCTCCGAAATTATGGAATTGTCTAGTTCTAAAATGTATTGATTTTAGTATACTTTAGCTGTTATTAATATAAGTTAAAAAGACGCTAACTTGCATTTTTTAATTGATTAGCAATTTTTTTGATTTTATCCAGCGTGTAAGCTGCCAATGCACATGTCATATTTTGCACCCATACCTCATATTTGTATTTTACCACATTTTAAATTTATATGTATGCATGTATGTTATTTTTGATTGTAATGTAATATTTGCTAAACTTTCTATCACGTTTTATGTATTTGTATATCATTTTTTATATCTCCCGTAATTTTCACATTATTTTACAGTCGACATCAAAAATAATGTTGCCTCTGCACTTTGACGTAATATACGTATAAGTATTTGTTAAAACAATACTCGCCTATTTTATAAACATAATTACTTGAAAAAAAGATACCTATTTGGCTTATTTAGGTATATCCACTAATTTACTTGCACTTCGAAGTAAAATTCATTTTCGAAATACAAGACGTTTTTGAAAATGAAAATGTCTAAGCACCTCTCGTATCCCAACGATCTCATAACTTATCGAAAAGGTAAAAACTAATGGTCGTGTAAATTTTGAAGCTATTGAATTATGCTAGAACTGCTTTTAGTTCTCCTTTGTGGCTTTATAAAAATAATATTTTTACGTATTTTTACTTTTAAATTATAATTGACAACGACAAACCATAGCCTATGTTAGTCTTTGCAGTATAACTTAATTCAAAATTGGTCGCAAATTTCCTTAATTAACCTAGCATAAGTCGTAATACAGATTATATCAGTGTAGGAGTAATCAGATCGAAAGTCATAAGTTGAATCGGATATAAAATGCAAATATAATATATAAATATAAAATCCAATAGTTCACGTGATGACTCGAATCAAGTGGTCTGTGGTTACCTTTTAAAAAATGGCGGATAAGCGAAACGGTTCATCATTCATTAACTGAATCTTCGTTAAAAAAAATCTTAAATACTACAGAAGATGAAAAAAAAAAGCTAGAAAACTTAAATTAAACGTCGAACGTTGTCGAGCCTATAGAAATCACAAGAAAATTGCTAAAGTTTTATCAGTAACTACAATTGGTACTTCTTCTTCGACCTTGGAAGATTTTGAAGGACCATCAGATACAACAGGAAATATAAATCAGAAAGGTAAGTAATAATACCTAATATGAATATGGTTAATAAATATTACCGTGACTTACCACTGGTGTATATACGGATATGGAAAACGTCTCGGAGAGCCAAGATAATAAAAATGATTTTCAAAAGAAATAAGAAGTTTCTTATTCGCAGCATTTCAAAAATATTTTATGACAGGCCTCTGGCCAGGCACACATGTCATAGATATTAAAACTGAGGGGCTTAGAATCCTAATCCGGCGTCCGTTTGTCGTTCATCGTTCCGTCAAACCAGTAAAATTGAAATATTATCTGTCATTTTTGAAATAAACCAATAAAACTGGTTAAAAACAACAAGAGACTACGCATGACGGATTTATATTTAAACCCATCCATAGCTAACTTAAAAAATGTTGGAAACTTTTTTTAGTAAAATAAATAGATTGGTATGGGATGTCATCTGCTTTTCTTGTCATCGTCTGTCTTACCTGAGAAAAAAAAACAGAGTATACATGTATACATCGATAATCTAATCAAACTGGTAGTTTCGACCTTTAAACCGATATTAATTATTATTACGTTTACTTTCTTATTTTTCAGAATTAATATTAAAAAATTATAGGTACCTACCGTTAAAATCAGACATTTTGTTTCAGATTTATATTTAATTAATAAAGTCCAATGCAAGAAATAACATAATGAAACCACCATCACTAAGTGTCAAGATTTTATATTTATGGTTATTACTTTAGAAAAATAATAAAAACTTTTTGTGACCAAATTTTATATTTTACATTAATTTTTATTAATGTAATTTATTTTTGCTGCTTACCGCCACAACCTTACATTGCATGGTTTCTGTAACCAAGAAATAAATATCACAGTTCAGTAGTAAACATTATAAAGGTGACCGTAAAGTATCGAATAAGTTCATTTAAAATTAAGGGGTGTGTAAAAAAAGTTTTTTTCTTCGACAACCGCCGACTTGTGTCTGGTATTTTCAATACGCCTATGATGGTTGCGCATGTTGCAAAATCTGTGAATTTTTTTTATTGTATTGACGCTATACGTAAGCTTTCGTTCCGTATCAGTTCCATACTTTTTATTGTACAATTTATATCATTACGAAAGTTTTATTTTAGAATTTTGTATCTTTTGAAAAAGGTAATAGATTTAATTAAGAGGTGAAAGAATAAATAAATTGTAGCATTTTATTTAAAATTCACATAATTTATATAAAGGTACAGAATTATTTGTTTAAATAATTCAAGTTTAAGTTCTATCACGGAGATGGCGTACTGAGTATTGTTATTATCTTTTATTTTTTCTTCAAGTTTATTTCTGGCGAGATATTTGAGTCCGGTCGAATTTTATTCGTCACTTTATATCTGACGGTGTATAGTCATACCTCGTGCCTACCTTCCCTCGCCATATTGGTGGCTAAAGGCTGAACCCGATAGAGCTATCAGCGTTTGTTGGCATTTTGCCAATTTAAAACCCTCTGAGTAGAGGTAAGACTCTTAATTTAAACGTAACGTTGAGTAACGTTTCCTAATAGGTACCTTTCTTTTCTTTCTATAGGATTTTAGTTTACGGCAGAATTTTATTGTAAGGCATTTTATGGTGGCTTTATTTTCTGGTGCCATTTTGTCTTTTTTGTACTTGACGTTTGGTCCACGTTTTGTCCCTACATTTCACACCGGAAATAACGGAGGAATTTCCTGAATTCACACAAGTTTTCGATCTTGTCTGTCCAGAAACATCTTATACCACCATCCAGTTCCGGTAGACCACAACCAGCTTGTGACCAGAACAGGCCAGATCATTTGATTTTATATCTATATAATTTAAATTCATTTGAATTCATTAAGCCCTTCATATTATATATTTAATTACTTAAGAATTTCAATTTGATAAATTTTACACGTTATCCATATTTCTGATATTCACATAGTACGTTTTTTTGAATATAAAAAATCCCTACATTTTGGTACCAAGATCGCCAGACTTTATGCGGAATAATTAGTAAAATTATAATATTCAGAAGCGTGCAGATTTAAACTACCATTAATAAGAGTGATCTATTTTGACATACAATTTACCAACTAATATTTTCAAACATCGAATTTGTCATATTCTTACTTAATTCTATTTTACATTCAATTATTAATTATACTTAGTTATTAGTTTCATTTGTGTAATTCCTAAAATAAGTAATACCTATATTCTGAGTTGATTTCTCAGTTTTCAACATAGAAGTTTTCGGAAATAAATGGAAAACTGAGTGGCGCCCAGTATCTTATAAAGACGTAAGTATCACAGTTTAATTTTCACTAGCTTACGACCCATTGCTCACCGGCGAACAGCTCCGTCGCATAGTGTTAGTTGTATTAATATTTTTCCAAAGGAAAATTCTTATAAAAAAACATTCCATCTTTTTTTATAACTTCTAATGCTACAAAATATCAGCAAAATGTTAAGAGGGCTGGCACAAATGTAAGAACTTGACAACACTGTTTCCGATACGCTTCAGTCCGTCCGCAGAAAAATGTATGGAATGGAAGTGAAACGGAACGGATAGTGTGCATTGTCTTATTCATTTACATGATAAAATATTTTATGTAAACGGAAGGGAGCTGATACGGAAGATATAGTGAGAATAAACCTTAAAGCGGAACTCAAGAACATGAAATACTCCATCCGTAACCTGGAATAGAAATCCTCCAACGGTCTAAGACACCCGAAGAAATTTTTCAGTACTTACCATAGAGAAAAATCAAAGATTTTGCTTGATTTAAGTAAGAATAACCTTCGGGTTGTCACGGGGTTTTTAACAGAACATTGTCTCCTCAACGAACACTTCAGTAGATTGGTAAGAAGGTAAGAAACAACGGCCAATGCAGATTCTGGGGAAAATTGGAAAACACCAGAACACCTCATGTTCCTGAAATGTCCAGTCGAAATGACAACCATTCGTGCTATAAACTTTGGTACGATTGATATCGGAGATGAAGAACTAACCTCCGTAAGACCGTTTTAGATATTAGTTTTTATGAAAGCCCTGAGAGTGTAGGATGAGTAGGAGGGGGCTATTCATTCTACATTCTACAAGATGTAAAATCAGATGACGTTAGTCTTTTAATAGCATACTACAATCATATAGATATATCGATTGCAATTTGATAAAATATCACTACTACAATCATAATATTGATATACTTTTACAGGAATGTATTTAAATTGTTTTTCCTAATATACAAGTGTATTAATTATCTATCAATGCTTTTATGATAATGGATTATCAATTTATACTGTTTGGGAAAAACTATATAAATGTTATTTCTCACAGAGGTCTGATTTTCCATAAGGTAATTTCAGTGTGTTAACAACTTCTATATCAGTATGAAAATGTAAGTAAATTAATTTCTCACTTAATAAAAAAATATATAATACCTAGGGCCGGTTGTACAAAGCAAGTATACAGGGTGGCGCACCTCATTCGCCTCGATTGATTATACGAAAACGGAAAGATGTACAAACAATTTTTTATGGGTATATGTAGAGAGGCAATGTGCATAGTTTAAAATTATTTTCAAATGTACAGGGTATATCAGACCTAAGATCCATACCAAAAGTTATATTTTTTCTTATGAAACACACACCCGGTATTTTATTTTATTTTTTGGATTATTGGGCATAAAATAAGGCATTTATTATAAGGGTTTAATACGTTTAAATACTTTGGTTTTTGAAATATTTAAATATGCATGCTATAATAAAAAAGATTGTTAACACCCTGTACATTGCTTTTCATAATTAATTATTTTGCTGACTTTGCCAGAGAAATAAACTTTACTAAAAAATTTGATTGCTTCCTTAAATGTATACAGAGGTATCAAAAATTGCTGGTCTATTTTAAATATTTCTTTTACAAAAAAAACTTCGTTATTTCAAATACAACACTATATATTTTTTAAAATAAGTCGAAGTAGATTTAAATGCTCTTTCAAACTATATTAGGGTTTCCTATACCTATCTGGCTCAGATTTTGAATAAAAAGCGATTTTTCAATAAAATGGCTATCAAGATAGCTGGTGTCGCCATGGCAATTTGCTAATGACAGTTAGTAGCTATTTTCAAAATCGACCTTAATTTATGGACTTCAAACTGGAATTTAAATTTATAACAGTTTACTTTTATTTAATTTACCTACAATAGTTTAATAAGTAACTGTATTTATTATTTTATCAAGAAAAATAAAGTAGTTCTTTGATTTATATTACGATGACTTGTAGATATATTGGATTTTCTATAAAAGAACGAATTAAGGCAAATTCATTTTTTTTTTACTTCCAACGACAGGTTTCTGCTTACTAGGTGTTTTATATATCACACTATCAGCTCTGCGAAATAGGAAAAGTGGTTTTTCAAAAGAACGCTTGTCAAGAAAATTCGTATTTGGATATCTTCGAGCATAAACACTTCAGGCCAACAAACAATTGTCCTCAAAATAAAATCACTAGTAACATATCCATTCCTTCCGCCAGCAGATACTGCTTCATTTTTCTTGATAAAATAATAATTCCATTAACAGTCCATAAACTAATGTCGATTTTGGAAATAGCTACTAAGTGTCACTAGAAAATTGCCATGGTGACACCAGCCATCTTGATTACAATTTTATGGAAAAATCGCTTTTCATTCAAAAGTAACTGCCCAACAGACAATAATAATATGTTTTTCCATGGGTTTTCCCCCAATTACACATTACATAAATCATAAAAACTTTTTTATAGGTCTGTTGACTAGGACCAAAAGCAAAGGCATGCTTTTAATGTAAACATTACGAAAAATTGAGCTATTGAGATGAACCAAAAAACAAACTATCGAGAAAAGATGCAACTTGATGATAAAATTTTTAGTCCGTGCCTTATTAACATATTACACAGGGTGTTTCAAACTTTCACCAAAATATAAACATTTTCCCTCATATAATAGACAGATATAGACTAGGCTTTTATTTAAGAGTCAAATAATTTAGCTACAAATTGCTTAAAAATCATCAAAATCGGTCCACAAGACCACAGTATAGAAGACTTTAAAATACATCAAAATTTTAACGTGTCCGCTTTTCGTACCGGTGAGTGTATATTAAAAATAATCTAAATTTAGTGTAATCGAATAACTTTTATTTAAGGTTCATAAATATTAGGCAAATAATTTAAATAATTATCCTATGTTGCCAAATAGCTGTACGTTATCCCAAATCATCTGACCAACTTCCGAACATTAGCAGAGCAAACGATTTAATAAGTGTCATCGTCCACGCGTATATATATCACGGTACCCTCGAAAATCGTCATAAATTCCAGTCAGTCGCAGGCGGCCCAGAGCAGGAACACCCTCCCCTCGACCAAACAATCGAACGTCGGATGTCAGCGGCAGGCCGCGGGCGCCATTTTCCGCCCGACCGAGCGTATAAGCGCCCTCTACCGACTTTTATTTGTGGAGAGATGTCGTACGGGCCTAATCTGATTATCATATTATGTAAATAAAATTCGTTCCCAGCGAGTTTTCCTATGTTTCTTTGAATAGTTAAATCAGAAAAATTTTCGTATATGTCATCAGTTTAGATGCACGAGAGAATATAGGTAGTTAGATTTTGTAAGGTGGGTATCCACATAATGCATATTCTACTGCCACCTTTACAGTAGTGATGGGATAACTCGAGCGAAAATTCGCTCGAGTACTCGATTATTGAAATAACCGACATCGATCGATTATGAACGAGCGATGCAAATGATGAGTTACAAGCGACGAACGCAAGCAATCCTAGAATGAAGTAAATTGAAATCCGATTTTAATGTAACATATTCGATAAAAAGCCGAACGAATTTTCTACATACAATGCAGGTAGCAAATTTATACGACGCCGTATATATATTTATCCGTTGCGTATCTGAGGGACAAAATTTTACGACCTACATTGACAATGCTTTGAAATCAACTAAATCAAGCGATCAAGCAAATCGCTCGTTGCTTGCGACTTGCCATTCATCACCGAAAGAATATGTGCACTGCGCAGGCAACTTACTGCTTGGCGCTAGGCGTTAACGAGTACTTACAACAAGCGACGGACGAAAAACCGTTTTTTTAAATACGAGTGATATTTCGCTTGAGCGATCCTCGGTTATTGCAATAGCTTGAAACTCGAGTACTCAATTATTGAAATTAATCGGTTTTCCCATCACTACTTTACAGATCTATTGTGGTCCTCTTTTTATCTCTCTAGATTATATTTTCCAATAGTAGATATCAGTATCCTTTCCAAAGTCTCTAATAACTTTAAGACTGAAACTTCTATACTAGGAGCTTTTCAAAAGTGGCTCTCTTCTATAACTTTTTGTTCAACTTTTTGAATTGATTGACGTATCCAGTTAGTTTCTATCACTTCCTGTTTCACCGGAAATAACTACAACTTTTGATTTTCAAATGATACCCTGATATTTTTTACTTCGTTTGTTAGAAAATGACATTCTGAATAGAATGACATATTGTATGTCAACTCATACAATATACGGTTTACAACGAGTGTAACCATAGTAGCTCGATATACTCATAGTGTCCGGCAATAGGGCGTCGCACAGTGTAACGAAAACTAAAATAGTGGGACATTGGCATTTTTCTTCAGTTATCACTATTCTTGCTGACATTTTTTGACAGAAATTAAATAATACGACTAGGAATTTTTGCTACTGGACGAAAAGAATAAAAAAAGGCGTAATGGAATGTCAAAAAAAATCCGAAGTTTTATAAAAGCACTTTACATGTATATTTTTTTATTTACGAAGAGTTTATAGCTCTTATGGACCAAAAAGGTTATCAAATTACTGTCGAACAATCATTTATCTCCCGCTAATATGTCAAAACTCAATCAACATTACTAAATACTCAAATAATCAGGGATAAATTAGATAAGACTGCAAAACTCAAAGAGAACGACACAAGTGGCAAATATCATTTAATAGTATTAAATAATATGATAATATGCGAAAAAAACGTATTCAACTTCAACAAAGGAAACCATAATACACACCTCACAAAAAATTTCGCAACACTTATATTTTTCGTAGTATTTATTCTTGAAACGCTTCAAACATTTTTATGTGAAAAGCTTAAATCTAAGGTCTGCCTGAGTTATAATATACTTTCCATTCCTTAACAAGTTGCTATAAATGCAAATAACTTTTGAGATTATTGTTATCCAAGAGAATTTAAGAATACTTTGCAGTTTTCCAAATTAATAAGTGATGCGATAATTTATGTGGGGTGTATATTATTCCAAAATAACATAATATATAAGGCACTTACATAAAACATGCTTAAAAATCATTCTCAATTTCTTCTCCATCCATATACAAGAGCTCTTTCGCTTCCGGAAACAAGTCTACTTTTTTATTTTTAGAGTGCTTTGGTCGCAGATGTGAAAGTAGAGGATCTGAATATATCAATCAGTTGTGCAATATATCTTCAATAGTTTGGCACCAACAATGATGCAGCATTGAGGGTGGAGTGTTAAATAAATCGAAGAAAATTTTGCCGGTTTGAAAAAATATTCTCTTGTGTAATTTTTCTCCAATGTTGAGATTTTCTGAATTGTTGTAAACTGTCCCCCACCCCAATGTGAGGATGGTTCCTCGCCCCTAAAATAGCATTCAGTATGTTCATAACAAGTGTATAGTTTTTTCAATAAAGAAATTATAGCACAAAAAATTACGGATAAAAACTACGGTCGAATCAATGGAAAACGTAATTATTGCCGAAGAAATTTATTTTTTTTTTCTTCCAGGTTCGGATCTAGGTGGATGAAATTTATATGTAACAGTATACTAGAAAGTTCACTCTATGATATTTTGTATATATAACTTTGCGCGAATGTAAGCGTTTTTTTGAAAGTCATAATAAACATGTAGAAACTAGACTTGAAAAAAACTGGGACATTTTGTTCAGGTTTGTTGTTGGTAAAAGACCTCTCTTTACGGAAAAAATTGTTGGAATTGAACAACACAAGGAAACTTTTGAAAATAATAAATTTCATTGTATGAAATTTTTGTACAGATTTGGTAAATTAAGGAAACCATAACTTTAATCCGCCATAACTCCCCGACTAAGAGGTCAACTCAAGAAATATCTCACATGGTGGGGCTCTGGGATGTCCTTTATCCATCTATATAAAAACACTTGATGAATTAAATTTTTTGTTTTATGGGCTAATGTCCCACATTTCCCGATTTCGTTACACTGTGCGTCGGGCATCTGTAGCTGTAGAAAAGTGTAATTTTAAGTTTTATAGGATAGCTCAAAAAAGTGTGAGTGGATTGGGATGATTTTTTAAATTGAACACCCTGTA